GTTTAGGGTTTAGGGTTTAAAGATGAGGAAGGTTGGACCCGCCAGTTTCGACATTCAAGACTGCATGATCATGATCGTGGGTTTGGTGACGCTCACAGCACGAGGATGTGCGAGTGCAACAGTGAGCTAAAGAATTCCGTCATCAGACATCGTTCGCAAGCTCATGGGGCACATCATGGCATGTCAGATCTCTCTTCCATTGTTCGGGCTTGTTTCACTCACGAGCGAATGCGGCAAGTAGGGCAAAACTGGACAAAACATTCCAATGAAGGGATCTGGTAGCATTAAGAGCCGGGCTGCGTGCAGATTCGGCAGCATCCTGTGAAATGGCACAGGCTTGGGAAGCCGAAGGAGGANNTAATGTACGGGCCTTCATAACTAGAATATAGTTTTGGGGCCCATTATACTGTAATTATTGTATTGAACCCCACAATAGTATAGGTAATTATGAAGGCCCCTATATGACCCATCCTCACTTTGGTCTCGCGCCGGCGACCCGACTGCAGCTCGGTAGCATGCAGTCGCACTCGTGCAGATAGGGGAGAGCTTTTCAGAATGAGACAACCTCAATCCTGTAGCACCACTAAGTCCCGGCAATACAAGAATTCTGTGCAAACATGAGACATGATAGAGATATGGGATCCAGGGTGAAGCGGTGGCTCAGATGTTGGGCATGACTCTTCGTTAACCGTTGGGTAGTCACTTTACTCATACATCTCCAAGGTCCAAGGATACGTGGTGGCAGCACAGATGCGGGCTGTGCCTGAAAAACACAACCTGATGCCTTCCGCAGCTGTTGATCTGCAAATGGTTGACATCTTCGCTACACGTATCGAGTCAACTCGTGCGCCCCTCGCACCTCTTCAAGCTGGACTATAGCATTTCCTAACTCGTCAGAAGCGTGATGTCGGTCAGCGACACTGTTGTATTCTGCAAACTCGAGCAGGACTCAATAGCAATGCAGCACATGAGCATTAAAGAGCTGGGCTCCTCGTAAAGTCTCGGCTCCGGAAGACATAATCCTGAGAGCACAGGGCAGGAGGGTTTAGGGTTTAGGGGTCAGGGTTTGGGGTTTAGGGTTTAGGGTTTAGGGTTTAGGGTTTGGGGGTTTAGGGTTTGGGGGTTTAGGGGTTTAGGGGAGCAAGGCCGGATGGCATCTGAGGTGCAGAGAGACCAGAGCCTCAGACTCCTGCTTGGTATCTGAGCACATCTCGCCTACCTAAACCCCCAAGAGTAGGTAAAATAATGGCCCAAAACCCATAAAGGGCCACTATTCTACATACTTTTGAGGTCCAGGTAGGTACTAGTTAGCTGCTTCTTCCTCTTTTGCAAAGATGTGTTATTTAGCTGCTTCACAGGCAGACGATGGTGAAGACTTCACTTCATGTCGCCCGAAAGTCGCGCATCACAACCTTTCCTAAACCCTAAACCCTAAACTACTGCGCCAGAAACTCCTTGTCAGACTCAGCACTCAAAGACCCTTTTCCAATCCCAGCGGCACTTTCCAAAAGCAGTCCACGTGGAGGACGTGGTGGCAAGACAGGACGATCAAGCTGCCACGAAACGCCGGTGTGAGAGCTTTGGAGTGCTTCTTCGAGTTTAGAGTCTGGACTCCCAGAGTTTAGGGCTTGGGAGTTTAGAGGCTTCTCCATCTTGACACATACCCCGGAGCAGTATGTGGGCTACCTGACGTTCAAAATTACAAGCAGGAGCTGTATGGAGCGACGTTGCAACGTCATTCAAAGACTCTTTGTCGTGAGCTGATGCAGTGTCCACTTCGCACGTTAGCCCACTCTGCTTGAAACCGCCTAATGCAGGGGCGTTAATAATTAGAATGGGTTTTGGGGCCCATTATACTATATTTATAATGAGGAACCCAAAAATAGTATCGGTAATTCTTTCGGCCCCTACATTAGACGTCCACATCACCACCCAGGACCCCAGTCCCTGGACCTGTCTTCTGGCGCCCATCTCGCAAGGCAAATAGGGCAGGAGCCCTGGCTTCGAGCAAGAAGCGCGTGAGTTCGCCAGGAAGGGACAGCTCTTAGGGTTTAGGGTTTAGGGTTTCGAGTTTTCGGTTGAGAGTTTAGGGCTTCGAGTTTCCGGTTTCCAGTTTAGGGTTTAGGGTTTAGGGTTTCGAGTTTCGGGCTGCTTTAAGAGCTCATTCGTGGAACACACGGCTCCAGGCAAGAATGCAACGAATAGACAGGGGAAGGCATTCACGGACTTGTGATGCGGTCAACTACTGCGAACGAGGCTTGTTGGTTGAACATGGCCTTGAGCAAAACGAACTTGCATCCTCTTGCTGTCACATCTGCACTGAAATGCTGACTGGGGCGTGGCGTGGCAAGCAATAATCCACATGGCAAGAACTTGCTTTGAAGATTCGATAACCTCAGCAGCGGCGAGGCCGTGGAGCTGCGATGTAAGCCAAATCCCTACAAGCCGGAAGTCAAACATGAAGTCCCCAATCCGAACTGGCCTCCGGAACAACGCTCGACATACCTACAAAACCCTAAACCCTAAACCCCTAAACCCGAAACCCTAAATCTTTTTTGAAACTCTTACACTGCGACCCTCAAGCCTCAACGTCTTGCACACATCCGAGGCCCGAAACGGCCCCAATCCTGCCGCCCTCAATTCCCAGAAATACCTGCCAAAAAACATGCCCCTAATCCTAAACCCCTAAACCCCCTAAACCCTAAACCCCTAAACCCCTAAACCCTAAACCCCTAAACCCTAAACCCCTAAACCCTCCGAATGTTGAATGCCAGCCGCGCCTCCGGATCGCAGCGGCAGACTGCTGCTGCGGTGGCCGCAATCAGGGACTGAAGCTCTGGGGACGGGCCTGGGTCCGGGCTTAGGGTTTAGGGTTTAGGTTTTTTTTGTTTGACCGGACCTTTTCTCCTCTGCGGGGTTTAGGGTTTAGGGTTTAAGGTTTAGGGTTTTGGGTTTAGGATTTAGGGTTTAGGGTTCAGTGGGGTTTGGAGGGCTTACCCATAGGCCCCATAGTAGTTCCTTTTAGGGGTTACCTTATACGGTTCTTTATATGAACCCCAAAAAGGAACTACTTCAGGGCCTATAGGTAAGCCTTTATAGAGGGCTCGGGTCTAGGGTTTGGGATTTACGGGGTTTTAAGTGGCTCAGATGGTTTAGGGTTTAGGAGGTTTATGGGGCTTTTAGGGGTTTTACGGTTTGGGAGCTCCGATTCCTTGGCCATAAACGGGGGTAGGACTGCGGATCAGAGGGAATTTGGACTTCATCGATCAGAGGGAATTTGGACTTCATCGAACATTGTCAGATGTGCGTTGCAAGCTCGAGCATGCTTCTGTGCAAGACGGCACAGGGAAAGATAGGAGACATGAAGCCGCAAAGGAGGGGATAAGGTAGGACAGAGTAATTACTCTTGGGAAGGACTAAATATGCCAGAGAAGCGCCCACTTTCGATTAGAACTTGAACTGGTGAAACTCAAGTTTAGTGGGCGTAGAAGATCAGACTTAGATAGGACTGCGTTGTCTTCCCACGGACCTTCCTTTGAACACAGGCCGGCAAAAACAGGCTGGAATCTGTGGGCAGCACCGTCGTTGCAAAAGGACCCACACATGCGCAAGCAACTGAACTGTTCGAAACCTACAAGCGCTGGTTGATGCCTATGAGGTGCTCAGAATGAAGCGGGTACACTCTCTTTCCATCTTCTCATCTCACAAGAACAAGTACGGTAGAATCCCAAGTCTCACAACGGAAACTATAGGTGCCCGAAATATCAGAAGAGGGTTCTGGGCGGTACAACTAGTATGCCTATACTTAAATAAGGAACCCCCAAAATAGTATTGGCAATTAATCGCCTAGGGCCCTATAGTTTAGTCTTTCAGGTTGGACCGGGCTCTGCAAGAATTAGGTTCCCAGGCCATCCTTGTGCACGCAAGCGACGCTGACCTGCCAGCTCTGGGGGGCAAAGCCCTGTGTCAGGGTGGTAGGAGTTGACAAAATTTTGAAAGGAAGCTGTCCTGGCAGTTTGATTCGGTAATGAAGACTGCATAACACTGCAAGCGGCTTAGCCCAGACATGCCTCCCTTCTCCCTTGCACTCCTGTCCCCTAACGTCGCGACTTGCATCGTGATTCCTAGGCTGAAACATGGAGCAGTCTCCGATTTGAGGCTCGGTCCTGAAACACCTGAAGTCCAAAAGCCTTGGACTCTGAACGTTCTCAGACCGGGCCGTCCGCTGTAACACGGAGTAGAAGCGCGGCGGCACCTCTTCAGAGGCGCAAGCGCTCTTTGTTGGGATAAGAGACGGCAGAGGCGCAGGGTAGCGGTGGCCTCATGAGCATCCTTCAGCCGCTGCAGCATGTCTTTGGCGTGCACACGACGTTGCTCCCAACCTCATACACACACTGTGCCACCGCGCGGCCGTCCCATCACAGAAACCGTAGCTCCTTCACCCTGAGTCTTCTTGTTATGGGCCTATGGGGCATCTGACGGGCACACAACAATCGCTTGAAGGCAGGGTTCATGTAGGGATTTGCAACTTCCTGCCATCCTGCCCTGGCTTTCAAGCTGAGCGACCCTCTCGTCCCAAGCGCTGGCGAAGCGCTTGACAAAGCTCAGCGCCCTTTGTGGTGGAAGCAGTTCCAGATAGGTAGGTAGACTCAGTTGCCAAAGTGCGCACACGCCGACCATACATGACGAGAGCCTTAACCCAGTTGTGTGGCAAAGCCACGGAGCTAAGCCATACACGGAGGATGGTAGGTAGTAGACGTGAGTGATATGTACAATGCTGAGGAATCTCGCGGCCCAAACACGAAGCAATCGTGCAGAATGTCAAACATATTGCGGACTTTGAGTGCAAGTACGACATGGATCAATATGGGTTGTAGGTCTACATACATACATACAGACGTACATACAGACAGACAGACAGACAGCCATACAGAAACACAGACAGTCACACATACAAGACTGCATAACAATAAATATGCAACACATCCCATCGCAAGACGAGACAACATAGCAACATCTAGCATGGCGTAACATAGTTTTGCACAGCGGCATAACATCGCACTGCATAACATAATTCAGCAGAAAATAAGCTGGCAAAGCATAACAAAGCATAACACAGTATAGCATATCATACACAAACATAACCTACCCCAACACAGCTTAGCACAACATGGCATGACATGACATCACATACATCTACGCAGCAAAATGGCAATGCGGCCAAATACTTATGCAGCAACGATGTTTATAGTTCGGTATTTCCAATATCATTGTTCTGTATGTCAGTCACACAAGTGCTCTTATTTACATGGCCTCACAGCTGTGCAATGCGGTTGTATTAATTTTTTCAGCACCCTAACAAAAATTCATTGCATACGCTGACCCATTTCGGCGTATGACCATATTATCATACTGTTGTTCGAACCATTGTAATAGTGTCTCCTTCCGGAGTGGTGATTCTCGCTGCTGCACATGTTTCCTGTGATGCATGAATGATCAAGTCTGGTTTCCTGCCAGGTTCTTATACCACCATGCCGCTACATCGTCGCACTGTAAACTGCCGCAGTACAGTACCATGTGACGACGTGATTGAACTGCTGTATAAATTTGACCGCCGATGAACTGACCCTCATCTGCCCCCCACTCGCATCCTGCGTTGAGCCGCCCGTAGGGCTGCCAGGCAGTGCCTCTCGCAATGAGGGCCAACTCTGGGGCCTATTAATATTCAGGGCTTAGAGATTCAGGAGTTCATAGAGATTGCTACAGTAAAGGTTTGGGTGCCAATAAGTTTCAGGAGCGAAAGTCTTGAGCGCGCTTCTCGTTTGCACAGTGCTTCCATTATTCAGGGGCTGGGGGATGGGGTTGGCTGGGAGGCTGGGGTTGGTCTGGGCCGGGCTGGGCTGGATGAACTGGATAATCACGAAACCTGCTAATGCTCATGATGCTTTCCATGTTGGTTTCGTAGAATCTGGTGATGATGGTGAATCGGTTCATGCCAAAATCTGCTAGTTTCGCTGATGCTGATGATGCGCATAGCCAGCTTCTGTCACCGTTTCGCATATTAAAAGACTAACACTCGGAACAAACAAAAAGTGGCGGGGAGTGGGGTTAAAATTGAAATTTGATCTTTCACGGCGAGTGGTTGCGGGCAGGGAGGAGGAGTGAAAGATGAAACTTGTCTTTCACACGGTGGGGGATTGGGGCGGGGAGGAGGGGTGAAGGACAGATACCCTTTCATCTTTCACCCGTCCTCCCTGCCCCAACCCCCGCCGTGAAAGATAAAGTTTCGTCTCTCACCCATCCTCCACGCCTCAACCACCCGCCGTGAAAGATAATAGTTTATCTTTCACCCTTCCTCCCTGCCCTAACCCCCCACCGTGAAATGTAAAGTTTAATCTTTCACCCCTCCACGCCCCAATCCACCGGCGTGAAAGATACAGTTTCATCTTTCAGCCCTCCTCTCCGCCCCAACTCCCCGCCATGAAAGAAACAACTTCATCTTTTAATCTTTTACCCCCGTCCCTGCTCCCAACCCCGGCCCCGGTTTCCGGCGGGGGCGCTGCCATGCTGGCGGCTGCGCAGGCAGGCGGTGGGCCGAGCCGGGCCGGCTGGAGGGGCTGTGGAATTGTGAGAAGGCCGTAATTGCTTTCCTGAGGGCCTAGGGTTTAGAATCATTTATCGAAGGCTACTTCAGGGACTCTCTGCTTAGGACTGCAGCACTCGGACAGCTTCTGAAATTAGCAAGGCATAGGAAGGCTAGTCCAAGATTGACCTGCTGCCCATCGGTAAAACTCCATGCGACACATAATCAATCAGGAGGCGTTCGAGATCCTTTGCCCGAAAGAGTTCCCTTTACATCTAAGGGCAAAGAATGTCGAGAATCAAGCTTCTCACGAATCGATGGGGCCACAGCAAATTTCCAGCGACTTCGTCGACATCGAATCAGGTTCACACAGCAAGTCCAGCTAAATCTTCACGGACCCTTGACCTGCGCATGAACCTGCAGGTGCTCATGACGCTAGCTCAGTGTAGATTTAGGCGTCCCGCAGGCGCATGCCTTACGTGATCAGAGGGCCAACGGACCAGAGTCCGGCACTGGTGCCTCGCTGTACAGCAGCAAGGAGCAGGCCGCCTGGGCAGGACGTGGTCGAAAGGACGCCACTACCGATGGAAGCTCACACGCACGTTCAAGGCAGGACGTTTCAAATTACACTATCCTAAAGCGGTGGCCGCACGCCCACGCCTGAAATTCTCGCGCCCAATATCCGAAAGTTTCATCAGCGCATGCACCAGCGGAGAAATCCTGAATGCCACACCGCCCTGGACATTTGCTTTACAGAGAACCTGAAGCCACCGTGGACAATCAACAAGGCTAGAGATATCTTGCAGGCTGGTGACCACCGCATCGCAACGCTTCCACCGACGAGCGATGCTCGTCCTGGGTCGCGTCCAACTCGTGGAGTCATGTTTGGGATTTCGAGCAGGTCGGCAAACTTCATTGAACTCGAGGCGTTTTTGCTCAAGAGCTCAGTCCAGAGAGTGGAGTCCAGGATTCCAAGCTAGTGAAGTCTCCATGCCAGTGGGGTCCACACATGAGCTTGTCGCACACGGACTTACTTCCGCAAGCAGGGCTCCGGTAGTCAACCCTTCCATGTCTGTCGGTCACATGTTGCACTTCATGCACTTCTTCGCAGACTCCCATACAAGGACATGACGATTCCGCACTGTACTTTCAAGTACATCGAGAAGGCCAGTGCCCGAGTAAACTGGTCGGGCGTGGCAGTCGCACAGACATGGGCCAATAAAGTAAAAGAGTGCAACCTAATTGACCAGAATCCTTGTGCATAAATGTGGTAGTGCATTTGTTGCAAGGAGAAGAGCATGGCCAAGCCACCTCACAATGCAACATGACGGATGGACAACCCCGTTGGGAATAGATCCACTGAATTTGGGTGAGCCTGGGTAATTAGACATACACCCACGTGCGAACGGCAGATCTTTGACTAAGAGGGAACACTAACTCGAAGCCATGCCCCTCAAGCCTGCTCACAGACGCCAGACCCCGGTCCCCCCGGCCACCCTCCCGGCCTCCACAACCCGACAAACTTGCCCCGAAACCCGAGCCCAAGTCCGAAGCCTCGAAAGCAACATCTTGGCAGTGCTCGCATTGCTCTGGCGCAGCTGAGCTGCGGGCAGCTCTGCGACCAGTTCGCGAACAGACGGCCGACCCTGCTACAGTTCGTCTGGAGGCTTAGTGTTAAGGCTTTAGGTTTAGGCATGAAGGTCCCGTTGAGCTCGGGAAGGCTGCTTGGCTTGCGAATCCCGCAGAATCTCCATGTTCATTAACTTTACCCTACTCCGACTTCAGGGTGAGCCGACTGCAAGTGCTCCCGAAGCAGATCTGCAAGTAGATATGGAGTACACGTAAGCTAGGCAGAGTGCAGCCGAGGGCTCGCTATTCGCGCTATTCAGCCTCAGCTTGCCTTGCTTCACGATGGTGCGAAACCAAGCCGAAAGTTCGCGATTGAAGTAGGATTTCCCCTAGTCCGTTAGTCCTGCCATTCGTTCTAGCACGAGGATGACAACACCATGCTCTTTTAAGGCTTCCAGCGTCGAATTTCCAATCATGAAGCTCTGCAGAAGCGCTAGCACAAGCCGCAAGTCTGGATCTGGATATATGAAAAAACCAGCAGTCCCACACGGCAAAACTTCTTCATCAACAGCTTCCGATTCAGACCCACAAAGCCTCTGAGTCCAGCAAAATACCACTCATATCATTCCAGCCTCTTTCAAAGTTGCCACATACCTTGACACGAGGTGCTCTTTGGCCCTCCTTGGATCCACCACGTCTGTGACATCAATGCATGGCGATGGGCATCAGAATCAACATCGTCAGCATCATCAAAATCATGATCATTATCTGCATGACCAGCAGGAACAACTACAACACTTTGCGCACAAACAGACGAGCTCGATCCCAGTGCATGCTGCGGCCAGCCATGCCAGGATCGCTTTCGCTGTATGGCTTCGGCATTAGGGCCTGGCCTCCTGATGCCTTTTTGGTGCAATTGTAGACATTGTAGACAGGCTTCCGCTGGCTCTGCCGGCGCCAGAGTTGAGAAGCCCGCCGCTGCATAAGCACCTGGGCCTGGGCTTGCTGGGCTTGCATGTGCCGGGCTTCAGACACGCAGCTGGTCGTAAGTTTGGGGGCCTCAGCAGTACATAAAGCGTAGCACCAAGCACATGGTGAATGACGCGAAAGAATCTGTCCTTCAGCTCAAAGATTGCTTTTTGTTTGGCGAGGGGCAGCTTCATTCGGATTGAAAAAGAAAGCAACAGCTTTCCACCAAGGCCCGCAAACCCCAGACAGTAAAGCATGTATGCCAATGTATGCCATCCATCTTCATGCCTAAGCGCCGAAAAACCCTAGTCTAAAGTCTAAACCTACAAGCCCGTGGCCTCTTCCTTTGCATTCGGCAGCATCCGCATCCGTGCAAAAAGCACTTGTGCAGAGGCATCGCCATCGCATCGCAAGCTTGGGATGTGTCTGCTCAGGGTTTAGCTGCAGGTTTGGCGTCCAAAGCTAAGGTTTCAGGGATTTAAGGTTTGGGGGTTCAGAGTTCCGGCATCGCGGGGCTGCGGCAACTGTTGACCTGAAGCCCAACATGAAGGACGCCAACATGGGGCAAACTCTGAACCTGTCGAGCAATGCTGAAGTTTGAGGGTGCGCGCGCGTCTCTTCTGACATGAAGCAGTGGACTTCCCCTCATGCCTGAGGACATACTGACGTATCCGAACCACGGACCAGCAGCTGCTGATCCCGGGAACTCAACAATCATCCCGTCCATGGATCCTAAACTTCAGTCAGCCCTTCCAGAGTCGCAGAAAGCCCAGTAGTAATGGGACCCCCCCTTCAATATTCCTGCACCCCTGCCTGTATACCGAAATGTATGAGTGTGTTAAACGGCTATGCGAAGATGTGCATATTCCCAAACAGATACTAACAGCTGCACAACTACGCATCCATACATCTAAACCTTGACAGCCATACACCTGGCCATCTATACATTTATGCGTCTGTGTATCGTTAACTACAAGCATACATCAACACACTTTTACATTAATACACATATGTAAATAAATATATATATATACACACATTTTCGTACTAACATACAAACATCAAAACATACAGACATTCTCATACATACATACATACATACATACATACATACATACATACATATTCTCATACATACATACATACATACATACATACATACATACATATACACATATATATATATACACAAACGCGTATCAACATATCGACATGTAGACACATAGACATACACACAAACATACATGCCAGCATACATACATGCAGATATATGTATGAGTGAGCGAGTGGATAGCCTGGAGTGCACTCCGGCCCAACGGAAACGTTCTATATATATATATATACATACATACATACATACATACATACATACATACATAGAAACACATATAAACTTACAGACACAGAGACGTCGCTGTTGAATTTCTACACGTAAGTAGCACATATACCCACATACACATAGACATGTACAGATATACATAGCTACACATGCACATCCAAACATTTTTACACACATCTACATAAACACACTTCAGCTTGATCGCTTCAAATATAAGAAGAACCAGCTGAAATGGCCGGCGAAGCACGAAAACCACTACAGCGCCAGCACTGAATAAGAAAACATTGAATTAAGAAACCAGCCCCTGAATTTGCGCGGACCTATACTAAAATCTGAGAAAAGCAAGCAAAAGGAAATAAGAAATTCAGGGTCCCCTACCCCCGAAACCCAATTTCTTATCCAATTTCTTAAATGCTGCCCCAAGACCAGAAATGCTCAGGGCTTCGGGATTTAAAGCTTCAGGTTAAAACCTGCAGCAAATCGGCGGGAGTTTCGGAATTCGCCCGAAAACAAACAATAGAGGTGAAGATGTGATATCCGGTCGCTTGGACGGGCTTAGGATTCCTGCAGCAAATCGGCGA